TTTCAGTTGTGTAAAGAATATGTGCCAATTGTAACTGGATGATAAAGTACATGGAAAGTACTGGAAAGATGATGAAAGTATTGGAAAAAAAGGATAAATCACTGGTAGAGGAATAAAAATTGAAGGGAACTGTAGACATACCAACTTCCAATGAATAGCTGAGCAGCAAGATTAATTATATCAAATACTTTTGAAAGAACATAAATATTGTTCAGTATGAACTTAGACTATACTATATCATCACAGAGATGGAGGAACTTTTATTGGCATTCGGCATTTTATGTCCGTGCAAACATATAGTTTCTTGAGATTAATGATATATGCAAATTTAAAACATCTGCAGCTGCACAGGAAATATATTAGGCACTATTTATAAAAATGTGCGGAAAGTTATCATGCAGAAAGATCTTAGTGAAAAATATTAGATGGGATGAATCAGGTCCCCAGGTGCAGCTAGGAAGAAGAGTGGGATGTAAGTGACTTTTTCCATATTTTTGATTATTGGTCTGGGTAAGAGGCCATTTCAATTCTGGCAACTTAAAGCAGTCCTACTTTATGTTGGATAAAAAAGTCCCAATGGACCGCTTTGCCAGCCTAGAATTATTGAAGCTCAAAGGCAAGCTTATGTCACCTCAAACAAACAATATATTCTCTTCTCTGCTCCCCCCAGACCCAGTAATTCTGGCAGTTAGCATAGACCAAGCTTTGCCAGTGGAATGCATCCCCGTAGTATTCCCTGACTTTAGATCATCTTCTCAGCTGCCAACGGTTGGATCAGGATCTAAGGATCTGGTCTTACATAGACACTTACCTCCACAATATATATTAAAAAACTATTATGAACACTGCAAAGTCCATCACTTGGAAGCGAGGAAATGTTGAAATTAAGGATTAAGCCCCCCCTTCTGCATATGAATTAGGAAACTAAATATGATCAAGTAATTCAAGACTATTTTTCTCTCAGGGGATCCTTGACTTGTTCAGTAAGCAAGATGGATTGTGCTTATTTGATGAACAGTTATTCAACATTTTGTCTTATCCTCATTATTCAATGTGTGACCCATGAGAATTTCTTCCATATTATTCTGAAGAAAGATTTATTCATTCCCTTATGGGCTTTTCTATGCAGCTTATCACTATAGTATCTGAACCACAACTATTAATTTATTTTCATAAAAAGTAAATTATTCCCATTTTACATATGGGGAAATTAAGCAGAGAATTTAAGATCAAAAGTATTAATTAATTGGGGGTGTTTGGCTTGAGATGCTAAGAACCAGATTGTTTACTACTTGTAACATTATATATTATCCAAGATGCTCAAAACCTTTGAATACTCAGCACTTGTGCAAGTCAGGCCAGAGCCTCAAATTAGCATCAAGAAAACAGGGCACAAATAATTAGTGATCACCTGTGAAACATTTAAGTGACTTCTGCAGCATCGGCTAGGAATTCTGTGTCACAAAAAGCAGAAGCATTCAGTTACTTCAATCAATAGTCACCTACTTTAACTATAAGACCATTCTTTACCTGCAGTCCCCTGCCTCATTCATTATGCATCTTCTGCCAGGAGACCTGCAGAGCAGCTTCATCCTATCTATTGATGGAAGCAGGGATTCTGTGGAAAAAACTATTTGATCATGTAATTAAAAGCTCTGTCCTAATGCATATGTACACAGGGGAATGAATTTAAGTTGCACAGGCAGTCTTAATTCTGGCATTTCCTAAAATTACTGTGCTTGAATTTGCAAACTTAATAATGTTCTATGTGCTTTTTTAAATGTAATTTCTTACATCTCTAAAAAAGCAACCACAACCCCCCCACCCCGTTCTTCCAACTTCCATCTTGTGGTATCACACTAACAATGACATGGGGCATCAGCTGGGTTGGACCTGTCAATTTTTGCTAATAAAATAACTGATAATGAAGGACAAGCCAGTACTGCTATGTGGACCAATACTAATGGTAAACAAAGCTTTTTATCAGAGAGTTCTTTAGACATGGCTGATAGGAGGGGAAATGTGAGACTCAGAAATCTTGAGCTCCATTTCAGACTCTGGAGGGTAGTGTTCTCTAGTAGGCAGAGTCTCTTCCGCCATTTTTTCCAAGGTTGACTCCTGCCTTGCTGTGGCGGAGCACCAGCAGGGTGCTTGCCGCTTAAGAGCTGTTGCAGGCTCTGAGTGAGCCTGCTTTGGGAGCACCAGGGAAAAGCCTCTCCCCAGGAACGGATTTTAAGGGGCAAGGTGGGTGGCAGAGCACCTTTTGTGTCTGCTACTCTAAGGAGGAGAGCAGGCAGCAGACAGGTACAGGCCAACCCTGATGAGGCAGCCATTTTAAGATCCTGGCTCTCAGGGCTGGGGCAGCAGCTTGCTGCTAGCAGCCAAGGAGGCAACATCTGACTGAGCTGCTACTTACAACATCTTGGAGGTAAGGGCAGGAGCGACTGGGGATGGCAGGAGGCTCCTGGTCCTGGGCTTGATTGAAAAGTGCACCCTGCTTGGGAATGGTGGCCTGGTGGGACTCCTTGTGGTGAGGGAGTCCCCAAGAAATGCCAAGCCAGTTACCTCCCCGGTGAAAGGTGAGGAGGGGTGCTGTAAAACCCCAGCCTCCACCATTCTGGTGGGTTATAATATCAGAGGGGAGTAGGGCCAGACATGCCCAGGGAGGGGCACCTGAACCCAGAGTGGGTAATGGGACCAGGCATGCCCATGTGAGGCACCTGATCCCATAGGGGTGTAAGACCCCATGGAGTAGTGGGACCAGGCATGCCCACGAGAGTGGCACCTGAGTCTGTAGGGGTTTAAGACCCCAGAGAGTAGTGGGGCCAGGCATGCCCATGGGAGGCACCTGAGCCCATGGGGCTGTAAGACCCTGGAGCCCCAGAAAATGGGGCAAGTGTGTTGAGCCCCAGAAAATAGGGTATGTTGAGCCCAAGGAGGGAGTGAGAGGAGAGATGGGGTCCTGGCCAAGGGGCAAGTCTGTGGATGCCTGAGGCCCCATGTGGGCCTGAGGCCAAGTTGGCAGCACAGAAGGAGCTGCAAGTAAGTGGGGTGAGCAATTGGCCCCGTGAGGGATGAGTTACCTGGTGTAGGGCTAGAGGTGAAGTCAGCCCAGGTTTTGACTAATTTCCTGGCCACCACATAGATGAGGGTCGCAGGAGACACCCAAAAGGCTATGCCACATTTGGCCAAGGAGAGAAGGGATAAATCTGATGACCCACGCGGTCACTCAAGGGAGCAGGGCAGGGTGAATGAGGCCCAGTAAAGGGCATGAGTGTGAGAGGCCTGGTGAGAGCAGATGGAGTGATAGAGGCCGCAGTGAGAGGGGAGCTGTATGAGTGAGGCTCTGAACAGGGCAGCATGAGAGAGGGCTAACTGTGGACTGAGTTTGCCCAGCCTCAGTCTAGAGCGTAGGCCAGCTCAGAGATGACATCTGTGAGGCATGGGACACAATAAAGAGAAGGTCAGAGTCGTGCGTTTACCGCCTGTAAACAGCAGGGCGCTGGAAGGGCAGCCTCCCGTCTAATTAACATCATAATTAATGTACAACAAGTTGTGGCAGACAAGTAAATTAGGCGGCTTACCCAAAGACAGGTGGTGGGACGGCATTGTGACTGGGCCTGGGAGTTTGTCTCTGTCACACTTGCCCCTCCCATCAGTCTCAGACCTTGTCCTTTCTCTTTTTTACCCCTTTCTCTTTCCCTTCATCTTTGACTTTGCCAACCCATTTCCAGTCTCCACACTTCCAACTTTTCATCCCAGTCTGTCTCTTTACCAAGCCAATCCTTATCTTCCCCTCTGGATTTGCTATCCTAGTCTTTTCCCGCCATTCCTTAGTCTCTTGGTTCAGCCAGTCCCATTTTACTCCTCCTAGTTACTTTGCCTAGCCAAGCCTAATTCTGTTGGCACATTCTTGCTCCTTGTCATATCTATCTGTCCTCTCCACAACTTCCTTCTCCCAATCCATGGCTTGCCCTTCCTAGTCCAAGTCCTGATTTCTTTTCCCAACAGACCTACTCTCCATTTGTGGCTCTTCATCGTATTTTATTGCCTGGTTTCCAGTTCTCCTTCCTCTTTCCCTTCCTAGCTCCCACTCCTGATCTCCTTATACAGCCTCTATCAGTATCCTTTATCTCTAGTTCATGGTCCAAGTTTTTCCCTGTTTCTGCCCTTAACTCCCTATTTCCCTGTCTCTTGTCAATCTCTAGCAGTGCCATAGCAAGGTGGGGGCAAGTGGGGCAACTGCTCTGGGTGCCAAAGTGAAGGGGCGCCAACAGGTGCTGCCCAGCCAGGGTGGGGTGCAGGACAGAGCCGAGAGTGACTCATTGGGGGGACACAGGGGAAGAGCAGCTCCCACCACTGCATGCACTCCCAGGGAAGTATGGGGGGGAGCATGTGCCCCCTGATCTCTGTGTGGGGTGGGGGCAGGCTGCTGCTGTGGGCTTTGCCCCAGGTGCCAAATTTTATTACTACGGCACTGAGTGATCTCTAGTCCTGGTCTTCTCCCCCTACAGGTTTCTTGTTCCAATCTGCTCCCTCAGGGGGTCTGAATGCTGCATTCAGTTCAGATGCTTTCTTCTTCTCCACTACCTAGGTGTCAGCCTGAGGGCACTGAGAACCTGGGGAAGGCAACATTCCTTCTCCCTGTTCTGATACCTGAGCTAGACACCAGCCTGCACCAGCTGGGAAGCAGAACAGCAGGAGAAGTTGTTCTTAGCATCGGGTGGACTCATGGGCAATTCAGACAGCATTTACCTAGAAGCTAGCTGCAAACCTCTGTTGCAAAAGACATAACCCTGACCCAAACGCTCCCCCACTATTAGATGTATAGACCTTTTTCCAAAACAGGGACTACTAAAGAGCTTATCAAAGTGAAAAAATTTCCAGAAATATTTAACATGGAATGAAGGAATAGCCCCCTTCTGAGAAACAGTTGAAACGTTTGGGCTGTAACATTCCAAAAAACAGCCTGGGGCAGTCACCACCCAAAAAATTCCAGCCCCAAAGCTATAACTTTGAAATCATAATGAAAAAAAAACAGAAAACAGGACCTAATAATGAGAAGCATTATGCAGCCTTAATAACTGATGTTCCCACCTGTGTATATAATATGATATTAAATGCTACCAGAATCTTTTGCCCTATACTCTGGGAATATTATCATCCTGGCATTCTGCAGACATCTAACTTTCAAATATCAGATAACCCAAAAAGTAGCTTGCATGTGTTGCTCCATTACTTTCCTGATGCGCTTTTAACCAGACTTTATCACCCTTCTCCAGCTTTAGGATGGTACTTCCTGACATATTTTCATAAGCTTTTAGTGTTGTCTGATATGTTCCTATTATGCCCTTGCCATTTTTCATCAAAATAATGGTTGTGGTATTCCGGTATAACTCTACATGGTATGCAAAGTAATAAACTCCAGGGATCTGGCAGGTGAAAATTCCTGTGGCCAAATCAAAATGATGCTGGTCATTATAGAGGACCTCATTAAAAATAATGGGTTGTTCAGGAGGTGGATAATTTTTGCCCAGTTTCAGAGCGAAAGCAGATTTTTGAGGAGGTGGGCATTCTCCTGGGTTTCCTTTTGGTCCAGTAGGGCCTGGTTCTCCTGTTTCACCCCTCGGTCCTAGTTTTCCTGGAGGGCCTTGTTTTCCAACCAATCCAGAGACACCTGAATAGGATTTTAAAAAAATGAAGAAGCTGATTCCATTTCATTTGCTGAACAAAGCTTGATTAAAGCCCCTAAAACTGTTTCTATTCTTTGGTTGACAATGTCCCCAGTAGATGGTCAGATAAATAAACTACAGTTTAAAATATTGTCTCACCCCCTTCCTCCCTGCAAATAAATAAAATGCCCACACATTCTGGTTAAGGGGAAACAGCCTCATCTGTATCTCTGTAGAAAGCTTAGACTTCAAATGAAGTGGAGAGTGCCATCCTTAATATGTTTGTAACTGGACATTTTCCTCTCTCTGGGGCCTCCCAAGACGGAGGTGATCAGATGGCCAGCAACAATGGAATTTATCCCCCAGCCAGAGTTAAAACAATTGCAGGGGAAGCAGCTTGCACGTATCATGTGTTTGGACTGCACTGACTCTGTGAGCAACTCATTTTAGTTCAAGCACTGCCCTAATACACCTGGTTGGGAGATTGTGGCTCTCTGCCCTAACTCTTACAGTATTCACGCACAGCCCTTCCCACAAAGAATAAACGGGTAGCCCATGTGCTAATCAACCCATTTCATGCACTCAGAAGGATATTAAAGTGGGTTGAAAGGTGATGTGAGTTGAGAGGCTTTTTACCTGCCAAAAACTTAGGAATTCTTTCATAATGGAGCAGAATGGAGCTAGGCAAAGCAGGAGAAATACAAAATCCTGAATTAACTGCTATACAGATATCTTTTACTGTACTTCTCAGCAATACATTTGGGGTTTCTATATTGTGACATACACAGAGAGGTTTATTCTTCAGAAAGCTTAAGAATTCTCCTATGCTAGTGTCAACATTTGATTTCTAAGCAACTGTTGATATGAAATTATTCTCATTGTTACTGATTATTAAATTTAAAACAACTTAAACAGGTGAAACAGTGCTATTAAACTTTGTTATTCCATGAAATGAACTCAGATTGACCCAGAGAACTTACCAGGTTCCCCTATATCTCCCTTCTGTCCTTTTTCTCCATTCAGTCCATTTTGCCCATTGTGCCCTGGACTTCCATTGTTCCCAGGGGCACCCGGAGGACCTTGGAGACACTGTTGAAGAACATGCTTTTCTTCTAATGCCACTATTGCAGTGAGAGAGAGCGCCAAAATCCAAATGTCTGGAGCAGGAGAAAAATGAAAGCCATTCCTTGGAGATTTTCAGTGGAGTTTGGAGAAAAAGTAGTACAAAGCAAAGCGTTTAGATTGGTGTTCCACTTACCTACTTGTGAACTGCACAGTATGTCATGAACTAGGTATGCAAAGGGGGAAAAGGTCTAACATCATGATGCTCTTGCACATTTACGCAAAGAATGCCAAATACGAAGGAGGAACTACCTCCTACCATTGAAGGAGGCAGGGTAAAAGTAATCGCAGAACAGCACTGCTACTGACTCTAGACTCCCTAAACCTATTGACTGTTCCCTTTCCCCATTAAGAGTGAAATCCTGGTCCCACTAAAGTCACTGGCATACTTCCCATTTACTTCGATAAGGCTGGAATTTCACTACAGACATCTGGCCTATACTAGCACAGTAAGAAACAAGCAATTACATTCTCACAAAAAACATAGCTGTTGCTACTGTATTGTACACATTCATAGAGGTATTATTATTCCTGTCCTGGGACTGAATCAGGTGGAATATTTTTAGAAACTGTTTTGGTATAGAGTACCTCTTTCTCTACTTACTGCCTTTCTGCTGCTGGGAGCATTAAAAGGCAGTTAAATCTACCTCATTCATTTAAATGAGGGCCAGATACCCATCTCATATAGCAGTTTTACACTAGTAGAATTCCACTGATGTCAACGTGGTTGCCCTTGGCTTTCACTGCATGAGAAGAAATCAAGCCACATATTTCTGAAAGAACCACATACCTGATAAATACATGCTCTGGGTTTGTCACCTCTCCCGTGTCTCCTTCAATAACCTCGCTCTTGGTTCACTGCGTTCTTTCTCACAGATTTTTGTAAGACCCCTCCTATGACTGATCAGCATCTTTTATTGTTGTTTCATACACCCACAACCCTTGTGTCACTGTCTGTTCTTGTACTCACTTTCCAACCAATAAGATATTTTTCCTGTTTGCATCCTGTTTCCTCATAGTTACCCTTGGGTGGAGTGTCCCAAGACTGCTTTGTTTCTTCCCCTAATTGCTGTAATTTAAAAAAACAATAAACACAGCAGGCTGTATCTAATACAATATTTTTGGCTATTCTAATTGTTGTCTTATATGTTGGCCCAAATCAATCCTGATCCAATTCTGCTGAAGTTAATGCTGTTGCAATAAGGGAAAATGTGGCCATTTTTCTAATTGTTCTGCCAGCTGTTGCTGTGGGTTATGCTCTGGGAGGTGGAAAGTGGAACAAATGGGCTATCCAGAAAAAAAAACAAAGTGGTTTAGCCAGCTGGAGAATAGATTATTATCTAGGAATGCAGAGACTTAGATATATATCTATAACAGCTTATGTCAATTCACAAGCCTGTTTGGCAGCTGCCTTTATTGCACTTACTGGGCACGTCTACACATGTGCATTTACTGTTCAGTAACCAATATTACTGCACACTATGGGTGCACATCTACACCTGCACACCCACACTGTGCAGTAAATATGGTGACTTACACCAGCTTGAGCATAAATTTGATACCTGCATCATGACTTGGGAATAACTACTCCCACACACAGTGTAAATGCACTTTAGCACCTGCATGTATAGACACCGGCCTATTCCCGCTTATTGAGCAGTAAATTTAAGCCCTTGTAAATGCATGTGCAGACACACCCACTGTGTTTCCTGGGTCGGGGAGAATAGTTATATACAAGAAAAACTATTCATGAGACTTTGACCCACCACAAAGTCCTCAGATAAATTACGCTAATTATATTTATCTTTTTTTAATACTCATTATTTATTAATTTATTTATTTCATAGATTTCATAAATTTCATAACATTAGGGCTGGAAGGAACCTCAGAAGATCATTGAGTCCAGCCCCCTGCCCGAAGGGCAGGAAGTCAGCTGGGGTTATAGGATCCCAGCAAGATAAGCATCTAATTTGCTCTTGAAGGTGTTCAATGTAGGTGCTTGAACCACCTCCAATGGCAGACTATTCCAGACCTTGGCGGCTTGGACAGTAAAGAAATTCTTCCTTATGTCCAGCCTGAAATGGTCTTGCAGTAGTTTATAACCATTCGACCTAGTCATCCCTTGGGGCACTCTGGTGAACAAACGTTCCCCCAGATACTGGTGGTCACCTCTGATAAACTTGTAGGTGGCCATCAGATCACCCCTGAGCCTGCGCTTTTCCAGGC